AGATCTTGCCAGGTTGGTCGCTAAGGATGAAATCTGGGGAGAGGAGAGACATTGGAGATGATGCCCTTCACTCTGCAGGATGAACGGCATCTTTGAACACCCGAATGTGAAGATTTGGGCAGTCCCTAAGGCAGGAGCGCCAGGTGTTTGAGGAGCTCTGAAATTTGCAGCATTCTAAAGAATGCTGCTTAAAATTCCTGTTAGGGGCTAGTGACCAGCCTATCTTAAGAACACTGAGAGTTTTTGCTTTTGAAATACATATGGAAACTTAAACTACGTAAATTCATTTTGGGAAGCAAGGAAAGGCTTTAGCATAACTCTATAGATTTATTTATAAGGGTGAAGGAGAAATACATGAAGTCTATTAAACCCATCTGAGAAAGTATTGGTTATTTGTGGTTCGTGAACATTCATAGGTCTCTGTACTCTTTGCTCTTTGCCCTCTCTGTCTCTGTAGGTTCTGCTGAGGTTCCTAACACTCCTATTATAGAACCCTCTGTGTGTGTGAGAACTTTTCAGAGAGGTATCCAGAAAATCAGATTCCATAGTACCTAGCACTACACAACTGTGTGTGGTGTGCACATATGCAAATGTATGTGCATAGTATGATTTGGGGTTACTTTGAGGGATTGTCTTGTGGGAAATGAGACCCAGGTTAGCAAGCTCACAGTCTTCAGGACAACATGACCGTCTGAAGACTGAGGTGAAAGTTGAGGATGTAAGCTTGAGGGAAAAAACATCTCAATGACACCTCCTCTCACTTTCACGGCCTTTCTAAGGATATGTTAAGACGCTTACATCACTAATCAGAACGTCTTTCCTAAGATCAGCTGGTGACAGACGTTCATTTCATCCTCAGAATGCCTTTCCTCAGGTCCTGGCTCCTAGTTTGAATTCCCAAGTGCTACAGTCCAGCCACACCAGCATAACTATTCCAATATCTCAGTAATCTGTCCATGACATCCTAGGTACCTGAACACAAGATACACCAGATAGCTGTCATGAAACACTCATATACAAACACCTCCTATAGTATGTCTCAGAATCATTTTGAAAAATAATGACGAGTAAACACAGAATTAGCATGTAGAGCCTTTACCAGGGATCTGACATCAAAAGAGGTGGTTTGAAAGAGATCCTCTGAAGCAGAATATGAATTTAGTTTTCTGAAACTTTTTTGAACATTTTTATTATGTTGAACAATGTCCCTATACAATTGCTGCCTTTAAAGATATGAAAGCATCATTTATAATATATCTTCATAGTGAAAAGTTTTGAAAAAGTGCCCATTTGGATGTCTGATAAATTGAAATTCATGGAAATAAATTGGAACCAGTCCTTTCTAAAAGTGCTGATTTCTTTTGCTTGGCCACACTTGGGTGTCATATGCAGGAATTTTGGAAGACTAACCTTTCCAGGTACGTTAACTACAATGCAAACAATCTCCCAAGGTAAGAAACTCTAGGTTGAGCCCTAACTTCTTCTAGAATATTTTGTATCCTTTTGTCTGTTTCCTTAGATGATTTGCCCCAGTAGTCAAAGTGACTAATGATATGTGGAGATACACTAAGTGATAAGTGCTCATGCCTCCCTAACATCCCTCAAATTTGTTGGATTTCAAGAAGCAGTGGGAGAACTCAAAGTCTGAAGATGACCAAGCCCGAAGCAAGGGCTACCCTTCCATCACAGCACTTTGTGTAAACTTGCCATGTGTAAACTTTTTAGCTCCTAGTATCCTGCCACCTAGCAAGGGCCTGGATAGTGATCTTTCTTAGAGTTCTCAATTTCCAGAAAACCCCAGAATGCGGTGGACCGGAGTCTGTACCGTTAGTCTTTCCAGGCTGGTCATTTCTGTTGCTTTTTTGGGATTCACACACCGAGGCCCCCAGGTTGTCACCTGTGAGGTCAGTGAGTTTGTGGCAGCAGAGCTAGCTCCCATGGCTAATGAGGTCCTGCTGTCTGCTGCCCTTAGCCACAGTGCCACTCACCAAGTCTAATTTTGGCAGTTTTCACACCCAGGGCCGTGTTTGGAGGGAGTGGGATTTGGCAGAATCAAGTTTCTGCTGTCACCACAGCACCTTCGTGTGGAAATTAACATCTGGGCATGCTTTGGGGAAAAAGCTTGACATAATTGAAGGGGACACATACAAGGAGGACAGCCTTGTGTCTTATCTCTTGGAATACAGGGGACTACTTAATGTCTCATTTATGTCCTTGTGTGTATTTTGCAGCTCCTTGTTGGAGAGCCCTTCTTTCACAACTAAATATTAGCTTGTTTACCTAAAAATTTCAACGACTAAGAAAATGTCACGAATTCACTGGTATTATCTCAACTCCCCACAAACGTGTCAAATTGTGTCATCCCTCTTGTCTTGTTAGATCTGGTGGCCATGAGTCTGTCATAGTCATTTTCACACACATTCTGTCCATCAGTGACTGATGAGTGTGTGTTCACCTAAAATTTTAGCTGTGCATTTTTTTTCTGTGTGGACTCTTAAGCTGATTGCCTTCATCCTTAGTATGACCTGATGTGTCTAGGTACTCTTCAGGAGAGACAAGTGATACATCTAATTGTGCATCACATATGTAATCGAGAATCTAAGGCAATTTGATAAAGGAATGTGAATTGGGAAATCCTTAAAGACCACTTTTTCTCTCTTTATAACGTGTAACTTTGAAATTACCACTATCATATGACATTCCCCTCCGTGCTCGAATTACTCAAGCTGAGAAAAGTTTCCATAGTCTGGGTTAGATCTGCTTGCTTCTAATGGAGGCATAGCTTTGAACATGATTACAGGAAGTTAAATAACTTTGTTATTGCGGGCTGTGAGGTCTCTATCATAACTACATTCATAGTTGCCTAATGTTAATAGAGTCTAGGAAACTATGCAAAGTCAGCGTCAGCTGGGGTGTGTTGTTGGCATTTTATGTAACGACACTTGAATTTTCTAAGACCTCATTACAACACAAATACAATTCTTTCCTGCTTTCTCAGCTTAATCATGAGTTCCACAAAAAACGGAGGTAAGACTTGGTTATCATAGAGAACATGAATGAAGAGTGCTAATGCACCCCTATCGAAACATGACATCAGGGCAAAACAAATTTTCCTAAGTTCCTCATGGTTTTTTGCTTTTGCATATTTGTGCATGTGTGTAGGCGTGTGCATGCATGCCTGTGAATGTTTGCCCACATATGTGCTTAGATCTGTAGCTTCCTGTGTGTAAATGCCTCTTCTGTTTCCTCATTGCAGTATTAGATTATTCCTGGAGAAAACATGCGCCTCAAAGGTTCACTCGTTCTTCAACTTGTTTTCTTGCCAGGAAAACCATAGAAACCATGCTTGCCAAACATGTAGAGAGAGATGGGAGAACTAGAGAAGAATAGGAGTGTTAGGTCCTTTCCCAATGGCACAGTGACATTGTTTTCCATGCTTAGATAAGATGAATGGGGTGGCCTCACCTGGTCTATTTTGTGATGGCCTTGGGGTCATCTTGTCTGAGGTCAGAGTTCTGTGAGGTGACTTGGGGGCAGTAGGAGAAGGTGAGCACCAGACTGACCTTTGAGGGTCTTGGGAAACTTGTTTTTCTTTCTTCCTATCTAACCTCACTCCTGCACCAGCAAATCCCCTGAACTGACACTCTTTCAGGACCAACTTAGAAAGCATATTACTACGTAATTAAAGCATATAGGGAATGCAAAGGTGATACGACACAATGTTCGCATTTCTATCGAGTTCTTTTTCCTCCTAGAGGAACTATGAACCTGAATTGGATGTTTCTTACTCTCAAAGATGACAGGCTTCCATTTTTATTATAAAATTATCTATGGTTTTAATAGGTTCAAATCATCTTAGGAGTCACATAAATTGTCCCTTTAATATATAAATTCTGGAATTCTGGTCTTGTATTCATAGGGAGCTTAAGTATCAAACTGTTTGTAGGTATGCGAGACACCCTACACTTAACCCTGAGCTGCAAAAAACACAAAAACAAAAACCCTCATTTATCCTGGTAAACATTTCATGTGAACTTAACAGTCATAGCATTAAGTATCTTTCCTTTGGTTTCAAGGCCCTAGAGTGAATGTCCGAGAGTGAATTCTGGTTGTCTGTGGTAGGGTGCTCCGTTGATTTTCCTTCTTCCTTCCCAGACACTCTGGTAAACACTTTTGACACGGCATGAGCCAACTACATTGGAAATTCACGTTTTGTACAGTAAAATACCATTTTATCCTCACGTGGCAAAGGATAGGCTCCTCCTTGCCATCGCACTGAAGAAAGTAATGTCTCAAGGAAAGTGGCCCCTCATCAGATTGGCTGCATCAAGCCCGAGACTCCCTCCCTTCTGCCTACATTTCTGTGCGATGCCAGCATCACAGCTACCCATCAGTGGCTTCCTCCTACCAGAACAGTTCCCACCTGACAAGAAATACCAGCTGAATAGTGTGACAGAGGAGCTCACCTTAAAAAACATTCTCCCTTTCACCTCTCAATCCCCACAGGCATCCTTGTGGGATGAAGGGGTTGGGGGGGACACAAACATCTCTTGTCCCTGTTGCCTAACAGGCTTTGGTGAAGGGACACAGAATCACACACCTCGTTGACATTTCCTAAGACAAGCACACTTAAGACTTTCAGAAACCTCTTGTCACCTGCTGTTATTTGGTACATTTCAGATGAAAACAGGGAGGGAAAAAAAAGCAGATCTTGTGAGGGCTTCCGCACACCTGCGCTTAGTTATGTGGTGGGGACAGAGAGCAAATGCCGGGGAGGGGGGCTTAACTGAAGTCTCACAGGGCCTTGGGATGGGCAAGTGCATCGGCGCTGAGGTCCAGATTGGGTCCAGGTGAGAGTCGAGGGGAACAGGTGCTCCCAGGATTTAAATAAGCTCTCCCGCGTGAGGGGGACAGGTGCCTTCAGGATTTAGTTTAGCTCCGGGCATCTCAGCAAGAGTCCTTGGCATTTCACACTGATGCCCCCTTTCTCCTCCTTGCAGGGGAACACTTGCGCATCTGTCCACAGGAGTATACGTGCTGCACCACCGAGATGGAAGACAAGTTAAGCCAGCAGAGCAAACTCGAGTTTGAAAACCTCGTGGAAGAGACGAGCCATTTCGTGCGTACCACGTTCGTGTCAAGGCACAAGAAATTTGATGGTAGGTGCCGTGGTGTGCCCTTTCCTGTGTTTCTGTTGAGTTTTTATACGGGGCTTTCGCTCTACCGGCAAGAGCGTTTTTGAGAGACGGTGGTTCCATTCCTACTCAAACTTGTGTATCGTTTGTGTGTGTTTAGCAAAGGCATGGGCATTCCTGATGATATAGAAGTGTCTTACGGGAACGTCGTAGGAAAGGACGGACTGAGCAAGCTGTTTTGTGCTATGTCCCGCCTATGTGGTCGCTCGGCACAGTTAAGCTCCCCATCTCCTTATATGACTGGCCCCAATTCAAGCTTTATGGCATTGTAACTTGTCTTCAGGTTTTCCCGTGGAGCTTTCATTCAGAAAGCCTGGTTACTTACATTTGCATGCACCCGGCACACCGATGTTAAGAGAAGAAGCTTGTCTCAGTGACGGGAACACGGACTGCTTTACTTCAGGGCTGTCCATGTGTTAATGTGACAGATAGACCGGTGCAGTAGGTGAGGTGCCATTTCCCGAGGGGCGATAACCCTCCTTCCATTCCCACATCACAAGAAAACAGCATTCTACGGTATTAAATATTTTTTTGTGTTAAAAAGCACAAAGAGTGAGGACAGTTATCGCTATCATTTCAGCTTGAATTGTCTAATCAAATCCTCAGAAAGTGTTCCAATACACTGTCTTCACCTTAGCAACAGTTTCAATAAGGACAACAGTGACGGGTATGTTTTTGGATGGCGTGTCGGTTCCTACTGGTCTAAGAAATGTAGGAACTGTGCTATGATTCATTATGAACCAGACTTGCAAGTTACGCAAGACTACCTTATTCCCCAGTGGACATGTTCCCCTGCCCAAGGCCAACAAGGGCCTATTCATCTTCTCACCCTCTTCAGGTGGAGTACCACGCATTCAGTTAGAAAAGACTTGCCAGTGTTTTCATTCCTGTTTCTCTGTAGTAAGTCAAACAGCCTACTTCATGGTTGCTTCCAACTATTATTGTAACTGTTGCCTGGCACATTTCTTCAAGTTATAAAAGGGTGGGTGCGTGGATGTACTCAGGATGTTGTTGTATTTTCCATGCTGCAGTTTCTCCATCTTTTCTACAAGGCTGTTCCAGGGCCTTCGCAGTCTCCTCTCTTGCTTTGCGTATATCTTTACCTGTGGATACAGGTGAAAGCAACTCCTTATTTAAATGTGATGCTGTGAATGCCTTTCTCCTGAATCTAAGGAGGGACTACTTGGAGGTCGTCCTTGACTGACAGATTACAAGTCCAGCGGCATTAAGGAGGCTCTGGGTTTAGGTGCCCACAATCTATCATGAAATGCTGAGACATCTTGTCCTTGATCGCAAAGAGCAGCTGAGTGTGATCTGCTGCTGCTGCTCATCATCTTGTGTTTGGAAACTAATTCTAATGCTGCCCTCCAAAAAGCGATGCTGCTAACTCTGGGACAGCATTCTGAGACCGGATTGTCTGCATCTCATAAGAAAATATATTAGATGGCAAGTAGTTTCATGAAAGGTTTGATATTTCTTTTTATAGAGAAGGAAGGCTGTTCAACTAGACCAAGCTAGATACTGTTGGCATTTTATCAATTAATCTTATATCTCACTTGTCTTAATTAAGAAACCCCGCTTTTAAGACAGGTGAGTTTTAAATTACGTTAATGCACTTTGGGATCTGTTGTCAATCATTGTGACAAGGACATTCATTTTGCTAAGATTGTATCTGACATAGTGGGTGATTAACTCTTTTGCAATGCTCTCTTTGGGTACAGGTATGTTAGATTGTCATAGGAGAGAAGTTAGGATATTTTTATAACAATGTAAACAAACAAGATTGTCATAGGAGAGACATCCAGATATTTTTATAACAATGTAACCAGATGAATGGAAACAATCTAAATGTGGTTTATAACAATGTAACCAGATGAACGGACACAATCTAAATGTGGTGCGTGGGATTAGGAAAGCTTACTTTTGAAGATAAAAGCATATGTGCAGGATTGTTACAGTAATGATTCTACCTTTCCCTCCATCTATTCTGTCAAATGATTGTATGATCTATCTTACTGAACCATAAAGGCAACCCTAGCTAGTAGACCTCTACAAAGATGGAGCTGTCAGTGAAACCCTAGGTGTAGTGCATACCAGGCAAGTAGCTGTGCCTCTCAGCTGTAACTCAGGACCTTACCCTGCTTTCCCTGACCCTTTCTATCTCCCTCTCTTTTTTTAAGACTAGACACTCTCCCAAGGCATTTCCTGGTACTCTATGTGGTCTTGACCACAGAAGGACTGTGTATCTGGGTTCAGCTGTGGAATGTTACCTTCCGGGTTTTCTTTTCTTGCGTAAAAACCAGAATTGTTGTGAACATCTTGCAGCTTAGTTTTAGAGACATTTAATTTGGTGAGTCTTACTGCACTATTATTGAATACAAAACATCCCACTGAAGACTATGCCCATGGTCTGCTTCCTAAGAAGTCTAGCCTTCATGTTTATAGTATATTGTCTTGTTAGCTAAACTTCTCGATAAGAAAGAAACTACCATTTGATTTGTATCTGAGAACATTGATTCCTATGCTCATTAGGGATAGTATCCAGGTCAGTTGAACTTGACATATGTGATCTCATCCATAGTACACAGAGAAGCTGCCATTGATCACAGTGGACATTAGTCTCATTGTGGCCTCCGTGTTTATATTAGAAATGTCTTCTTTCCCTTGGCCTTTCCCACCACCACCCAATAATGCTGATTCTATAGAAAATTGAAACTTACCATAACATTACATACTAGTATCACTCTGTTTTTCTCAGTTGTTCATTAATATTCTGGGTAATACTCAGAAGATACTACTGTGTGTGATTATAAATAGTTTTTAAGTGATGGGAATATAGTCATGAATATATTTTAATTCTTCTACAGATTTCCAAACTGTCAAGTTTTGCTTGAAATTCCATTAACCTAATATCTGAAAGGCAAGGAATATATGTTGTCGTGTGTAGAAATTGTATTGGCAAATAATTATCTGGGTAGATATTTTTCCTTAGGGATAAAAATTACCGGGAAACTGGGGGCTAGTCACTTCAAAGCTCAACAGAGCTGCTCTCAAGATGTCTTTTATTAGTGAGTCTATGTTTCTGTTTCTCTCCCTAGGCTTAAATCATACATAGCAAGTATCCAAGGGCACTTAGCTGTATTCACAACATTATTCCCTTACTTCTGACCTTTGTCTGCCACACACCTCAGAAGTTCAAAAACAAGCAGCAAGATTATGTAGAGATGCCCACAAGGAGAGAGCCGTCCCTGTGTAACTCACTCATGTAGGTAGGCTTCTGTGTTGAGCGACCACTGGGTCTGTCCAACTTACATTTGATTCTAAGTCTTCCCTGCTTTTATGCGTCTATGTGACTTGTTTTTTAAGAAGCCTTCTGAGAGTAGTAATAGTCACCAGAAGCAACACATGGCCTCATTCTTCACATTGTAAAATGCTCGCCCAAATCGTCAGGGTTAAGCTGAAAGGCAGAGTCATGCACGTGTCCAAAGGCAGAATCAGAATTCTGTCCTGAGCTCAGCATTCCTTCTTGTTTCCTGTCTTCTGCTACCTCTACCCCAAAACCTAGTCTCATCTGTGTTGAAATTTCATGGCCAACCAGCTAGCTATGTATCCCTCTCCCTTGCTTGTCCTGACCTGATTATGGTGGTGAGAAAATAAAAATCATTTTCAGGAAAAAAGAAAAGCAGTTACAGATATTTTAATCCCTGCCCCCCAAAAAAGAAGGAAAGAAAGAAAATTACTCACCTAAATATAGTTCAACTCTCCAAGGAGCTGGAAGCCTCCAGAGGGGATGTACCTTGCCAAGTTTCCATCAAGAGGAGGAAACCAAGATTGTAACCTGATACCTACATCAGTTTTATAAATAGCAGTGTTGTAGGAAATCAATATTTAGTTTGTTTTGAGTAGACACTGGTAAACCTTTGCTGATGCTTCCTTAACAAAACAATTGCAATAATTGTGCATTTAGATTCTAGTCACATTTTTGGAAAAGGTAGAGACTGCATTCAGTTGACCAAAGTTAAAAGATTACAAAAATGACATGACAGACTATGTTTCCTCCTCAGCTTATATAAACAGCAGGACTCTATCATGGTGTAGGTGGTCGAATCCTGTTCCTAGAAGGCCAGTGGAGCACAGTTTACTCAGAAACAGAATATTTTTCTTTAATCAATGTATTGTCCTTTATATTTATTCAACCTGAAACTTACATACAATTTGGACTTTCTATGACTCTTTTTGTTTGCTTGTTGTTGTTTAATATTTTCATCTTGATCTTATTATTGAACCTTTCTTCATGATTCTTATTTATGGAACTTAATTATATTCATTTGTCCAGATTTTTGGCACCCAGCAGATATTTTAAAAGCGAACAAAAGAATAGTGATTTCCATTCTTATACAGAACTGTAGAACGTATTCTATAGCAACACCCTCAGAATACCCATTGCAATGAAAGCAGAAATTATTTATGTACTGGGGTGTAGCATTTTCATGGTGCAAGTCTACTCATACTTTCTTTTAAAATATCATTTCTCATCTATGTACTATAGAGATGACAATAATGTAATGACTTCTTTAAAATATAGTCTAATTTTCTCAGAGAATGCACTTACATGGAATATTAAAAAACAAAGGAGTGTTCCATATGCTGATAGACTATTCCATATTTTTTTCACATTGTTCATATTGTATATGTGTGAGAGTGTGTGTATAATTGCAATTTGAAAAACATTCTATGCAGATGGATAACTATCAGATAAGTGTGAATTGTTTTGAAAGACGGCTAATCATGTCTAGAGCATCTTCATTGCTTGTATGAGGCCATCTTTTGAGAAAGAGGTAAACATTTCATTCTCATTAAAAGCATGGTTGAGTGGGCATGCTAATGCACACATGTAATGTCATAGTGGATGTATGGGGGCAGGAAGATCAGGAATTCCAGTGCAGTCTGGACTATGTAAGAAC